TCTATTCTTTTCTTCCTCCCTCCCTCCCTCCCTCCTTTCCTTTCTTTTTTATTTTTTGGAGAGAGGGTTTCTCTGTGTAGCTCTGGATATCCTGGAACTCACTCTATAGACCAGGCTGGCCTTGAATTCAGAGATCCACCTGCCTCTGCCTCCTGAGTTCTTGGATTTAAGGCATGTGCCACCTCTGCCTGGCATCTGGCTTCCTCTGCTTTTCTTGTGACAATGTGCTGCTGAGACGTAGGGCATCCCTCAGTCCTGCCCTTTATGTTTCCACTCACAGGACTTGCCTCTTGTTTTCTTGCCTAACATTTTGATTTCCTTTTGATTGACTTATTCATACCCATTTTTTGAATTACACAAAGCTGGATATTTTAAATGTTATTTTTCTACACACACAGTAGGATATGCAGTTCATCTCTTCTGAATTTATTATGCTTTTTACCCTGCCAACTTATTTGTGATTAATATTTGCAAATCCTTGGTGGATTTTGGAGGGGAAGCATGTGCTGTGTCTGTATATTTATTAATCAACCTTATTAACTACTTATTTCTTCGTTTTTTGTCCATCTCAAGACTGAGTTGTGGGCTAATTCTTTCACTGCATTGCTTCGCTGTCAAATTTTCAAGTATTTTTATTTACCTCCCATTAGCTTGTGTGAGTTGTTACTCTGCACCTGTGGGATTACTGAAGTAGGTGCAGTAATTGGGTTGTACTTTTTGTCCATATGACTCACTGTCTCCCAATCCCTCACACCACTGCTGTTTTTGCCTTTGCTGTGTATCATGTCCTCTCCTGTGGTCACTTGTGATAATTACCTTCCTCATTGATCACCAAATAGCTGATGAGAAGCCACTTCAGAGAGAAAGGACATATCTTTTTTTTTCCTTTTTTTGTGATTTTTTTCTTTTTTTTTTTTTTAATTTGAATTAGAAACAAGATTGTTTTACATGACAATCCCAGTTCCCTTCTCCCTCCCCTCCTCCCCTACCACCCCCCCCCCCACCTAAAGCCCTCCCTATCACATATCCTTTCTGCTCCCCCTGGATGGTGAGGCCTTCCATAGGGTGTCATCAGATTCTACCATAACCTTTGGGATAGGGCCTAGGCCCATCCCTGTGTGTCTTGGCTCAGGGAGTATTCCTTTATGTGGAATGGACTCCCAAAGTCTACACCTATGCTAGGGATAAGTACTGAACTACTACAGGAGGTCCTGTAGATTTCAGCGGTTTCCTCAATGAAATCTATGTTGAAAAAGGACATATCTTTTTTTTTCCTTTTTTTGTGATTTTTTTCTTTTTTTTTTCCATAACCTTTGGGATAGGGCCTAGGCCCATCCCTGTGTGTCTTGGCTCAGGGA